TATATATAGAACCTAGTGAAGTAATGAGTTAATTTGATCTCACTATGTATGAGATACATCTGAACAAAGCAAGCACTATATATCCAAACCTTATTCTGACAAATGATGAAAATTTAGATATGAGCAGATAGATGCATTTCTATCTCATCATCAGTGCTGCCTCCACTAAAAAGTAATTAATCTGACCTAAAATCAAAAACTGGTGTCTTAGAAATAGATCTGGTACAGAAGTTATCAGTCACCATGGCCTCTGGAACAAGTTAGCTATAGCTCTGTGATAAAACCATCTAATATCAACCTGTCAGAATACAGAAACAATGAATTACATGAGAACATGTTGAGGTTGGTGTCCAATGTCTATAATTCTACAAAATGTTTTATGTGATGTTGTATAGACTTAGTCTAGTGTGTTGTTGTGATGAGGAGGCATGCTGTTCATGTTTTATACCCCGTGTTTAACATAACATTTTTCAAAATCTTCATGCATGTAGGTGTAAACAGTTTAAGCACAGAATGCTAGTCATAAAAGTAGCTAAGTTATTTTTGTCCTGGGTGGTATTGTGTGTTTTTCCCTGGGAAAGGTTTTTATAACAAATACAATAACACAAACAAAACTAGGATGCTCACAGCCTGCAATTGCTCATGTGACATTAATCCACTCTTGTTTGAACACAGGAACAGGGAAGCCTTGAGCCATTATATGATTCACTGAAAGAAAAGACATGTTTATTTTGGGAAATCATGAGTGAAGTCATGTTTATCATTCCTGCAAGAAAACACTTGATGATCAATTAACGAATGTGGTCCCATGTGCAATTAAAGTAAACTGAGATGAAAAAATCACATATTCAGTAAGGGGGTAGCAAGCATATGGTACTGTTCTGTACCACATTTCACCTCCCCCTATATCTCCAGTCTGACTGTAAGTTTACCAGACAGTCTTCCTCATGGTTATGTAATGTCAAGGCCTCCATTTGCTTGGTTGCCTGCTCTTGGCAGTGATGTTTTAAAACTGGGATCTTATTGAGCATGAGTCACTCTTTAAGCTTAGACAGCTGCCCAGTGAATAACTTCAACTTTTCCTTTCTGGAGCCTTGGAAGTACCTATCAGCAAAGTTAATGTCCTGGAACTGGCAATGGTTGTTGCCATCTTAATTACCACCACAATAGTTAATGGTAACAGATGGCAACCACTGACTGTAGTTCTGGGACAAGTGTTGTGATGATCATGCCAGATGCGAGACATATGTAAAAATAATGCTGATTTCTCTTCACAAAACACCCTTTTCTCCTAATGCTCTGATTTTTGTTCTTAAACTGGTTCTTTCTTTCATTCTCGGAGGTACTGATCTAGTTTAGAATTCAGTAACTGGATGGCTGCCAAGGGGGCATAAGGGGTTTAGCAGAACCTTCATTCCTTGGTTCTGTCAGTAGTGGAGGAGGGTGTGGGGATCTCCATGGTTTCAGGGCTAGCCAATCAACAGCCTCAGCCAAAACCTGTATGTTGGACACATCCACTAGGCATGAATCTTCACCCATAGGCACCACTGATGTAAAGGTAAGGCCAGACTTTGGAGTGATGTATAATGCAGGAACTTCAGAAAATCCTGAAAAATTACCAAAAAGAATACTCTCACTATAGGTGGCATCCATTATCACACAGAATCAAATGTCAAAAATGCAAATAAGAAAATAATGCCTCCCAATCACCTAGGGTGGTTCCTTGGAAAATAGGCTCCTCACTGCTCCACTGAGTGAATGCCAGCTGTCTTGTCTGCTGGTGGTATAGCTTCTCTTGGTGGTTATTATTCACCATTGACAACTCATGTCTGGTTCTTAATTTGGTGAGGCACATTCATTTGTAGAGATGGTCCCCACTGATCCACCAATCACTACCTTTCTTGCACAGTGTCTTCTGTCTCGTCTCGTGACAAAAAAGCTCATGTTGGTGAAGTTCCTCCACCAACGGCACCTCTTTTCTCTCCTGACTCCTCTTAACTATGGATATTATTGACCTTAAATGCGGTTCTGTCTTTCTGAGTTGCAAATACCTGGAGAGTTGTAGAGAGACCAACCAAATCAGTCTCAGACACCCTATATCATCCATCACTCTGAGAATGCTTGATCATGCTAAGGCCCAACCTCATGGAGAGAAATTTATTAATCCTTATGAGTGCTCCAGACAGCATTTGTTCCCTGTTCTGGGGTTGTAGCTGCAGGATGACATTAGGGACCTCCACAACATCGACAAAAGTCCGAGTTCCAGGAGAGAGCTTCCCCATATCTGGAAAACCTTTCTATATGCTGCATTTTCTCATTTTTTGACTCTTCCTCCAGCTTGAACACCCTCTGACCTGTGGAAAATGCCATTTCCATTGTTTGAAAGGTTTGGTTTAGTCACTAGAGTATTGAAGAGTTCTGCTACACACCTACTCAGGAAACACAAACCTCTGAAGTGGTGATACCTTGGTCACAACATAAAACTTTCTCCTTTCTACCTACTCTGTGGTATACTCTATTGCATAGATTTCCAGAAGAGTAAATGGGCAGGATCCAGTAAACAAGAAATCCCCAAAATACTGAATTGCAGAGTATAAGTTCGTGTCTTTCTAAACTCTGACTGAGGCTATCCCCCCCAAAAAAAAAAAGAGTCAGCACAATAAAATGCACAAAACAACAATTTCTGTTACAGTCGGAATAAAACACTACACAATTAAAACAGTGGCAAGTGTTTGTATTGTGTGTCTGAAACTGGTAAGAAAGATAATTAAAAATAAACCTTATTTTTTCCCATTCACCAGTTCAGTGTGAGCCTAAACTACAAGCTATATGAAAAAGAAAATTAAAATACCTGTAAATCAAAATGAAAAGTACAAATTAAACTGGTAAATCTATATACAAATCTAGAAGTAAGCAAAAATTTTAAGCCATACAAAATCTAAATCAACTTGTGAATTATCATCAAAATCTAATTAAATGGGGAGAACCTGGTCTTCAGATACTACAACAGAATAACAAACAAAACTAGGCTGCTCACGGCACGCACATTGCACATGTGACATTAATCCACTCTCTTGTGGATGGGGAAGCCCTAGATCATTACACAATTTGCCGAAAGAAACGATAAATGTAAATATTTTGAAACATTGTGAATGAAGTTCTGTCTCCTTTCTTGCAAAAAGACAACAACAAACAATCAAAAAACATGTTCAATGATCAATTAGTAAGTCTGGTCTTTAGTGCATCTAAATTAAGAAGATATGTTTTTTACTTGAGTGACTTTCTGCATCCAAATTCAATTGAAAGGAAACAAAATTTTAAAACACTTACATATTAGTTAAGGGACTAGCAAATATATGTACCATCCTGCACCCTATACTCAAAGCTGAATAGTCTTATCATTTTTAGATGTATATTTGTGTATGGCCAAGGTCATAGCTACTGCCTGATTATTTACTATCATGATGGAAAGATGATCTTCTATTTGATCAAATCTCAACTACCATTGGTACTATGCCCTGCCAAACAAGAGGAGGCTTCAGCTTCTATATGAAGAAGCAGGGGGATTTCTACCACAACTGTCGACATGATGAGTCAGCCTGATGACATCAGCAATGATGGTTACACTTCTTAGATGAAAAATCTCCATTACCAAAAAAAAAAGTGTTGCCAATAAATTTATTCAGTGATCCGAAAACAGTAATATATATAAAGATATAACTTGTCACACCTTTTCTGTATGACTCTGTTGTAGTCAAAACATACCTTTTTGAGAAATTTATACCCTTCTTTTATGTAATTTAGTGACAGTTATAAATGAAACTGTTTATTGGTATGACAGTTCTAAGTGTAGCAACTATGCATTGTCATGAATGGGGTTTGACATTAATAAAAATAGTTGTGCGTTTTTCTTCATGTTTAAAGTTTCTATAACTAAAAGTTAGAAATCTAAAAGTCTTATAATCAAAATGTCTTTCTTAAAAGAAAAAGTTTGCAAAGAATAATAATGTAACAATAGTGACTATTCAAGGTGTTTCAATGCTCGTAGGTGTATATCAAAAGTAATAAAATCTATGTAAAAGTTTATGAAGTTTGGAGAATTAAATATTTATATCTTTGAAATATAAAAATATAAACTGCTGAAAGTCAAAGAATTTATATGCTTAAAGATAACACTAAAAGTCTAAGGTTTTATATACTTAAAATATGAAATAAATATAACTAAAAGCTTCAGAATGTATGTGGTATGGTGTAGCCAAAGGTTTAAAAGATTAAACTGAAACGTATGAACATCTTGTATGTTTAAGAAATAAGATGTAACTAAAAATGAAAATTTTATAACTTAAGTCTTTGGACAAAATTTAATTCAGCGTTTCCCAACTATGTTCCACGGAACACTGGTGTTCCATCCGAGACTGATAGGTGCTCCATGATAAAATCATGATTTTAAATTTTAATAACATGTTTAACACTTCTTGTACGATCATAACTTATGAAATATTTTCCAATGTATTAGAATTAAATAATATCCATTTCGCATTGAAGAATAATTATAGAAGATGCCATATCTATTCTACATAATATCTTAGTGGAGAGGTTTGTACCTAAAATATATTATAAGCATAAAAATGTAAAAATTTATTAATATGTAATTTGATTAAATAAATAAATGAATAATATACAAATCTAAGGGGCGCTGCACATGCAACATACCCTTTACACCGATATTTCACGTGTCTAGTGTTTCATAAGCTTTTTCTCAGCTGAAAAAGTGTTCTGTGGCCAAAAAAGTTTGGATAACGCTGCTCTAATTGAGTAAACTTTTCCATGACTTAACTTTCTCCCAAGTAATAACACAAAAATGTTTGAATTTTTCACAAAAATTCTTCACTGAAAATTCTTGCAAATTTATCCCTTTTCACAAAGTGTAACTCAATGAAACATTTTTAAAACTTAAGTGAACACAAGAAAATAACACTGAATAAAACATACAAACTCACAAATACATTGTTCTTGCTATCCCATCGTCATCATCATGTGCCGTCTTCCTCAGGAAGGTTGGTTGTCACAATCCTCCACTTCTGTCTATTCTGTGCTCTTATTACCAGGGTATTCATATTGTAATATTTCAGTCCACTCTTTAATATTTGTTATCCACTCTGTTCTTGGTATTCCCCTGTATCTTTTCTCTTCTAGTTGACCCTCTAGTAGAACTCGCTGGATGTTGTCTCGTCTACGTCTAAGGATCATGACTATCTATGGGATCATACTTGGTGAGGCCCAAATCTTTTCCAAGGTAACTGACCACTGGTTCTTTACCAGTCGTACCTAGACAAAAATACTCTCAGATGCAATAGTAGGAATACAGAGCAATCTGACATGGTTTATTGATTCGCCTCCGGCAGAAAAGTGAATTATCACACAGAAAAAAATGATCTGATAAACTTTGTAAATGTTACATTTTCACTGTTTTTAATGTAATTGTTGTGCTGTAATCATGTTTCATATATATATTGTCATGAAAACAGGAAATAATCAATGATTTCAAACTCTATGAGAGTACTCACTATTTTCTAATGTAAACAAACCTTTAGCTGTAATGCGCATGACATACGGCACAAGACAATCATTCAAGTAATATTCTTGTAAATTAAGATATATTAGGTAACATTACTGCTATTTTTCGATTATTATTATTATAGCCATTTAGTATTGTTTTATTTCATTTGGTGAAAGTAATTTGGCTTGTTTTATGTCAAAAATACTGTTGCTTATACTACCTTTTCCTTCGATCCTTCAGTTTAAACTGCCGCTATGTTAAGTAACCTAGTTAGTGTTAACTTTGAGTTTGACATTTGAGTCGTGATCGAATGTATTCCAAACATTGCTTGCGATTGACAAACTCACGCCATTAATGTGAATGCAAACAACTCAAATATATCAAAATGTCTTTCAAACAATTAATCATATTCATTTATTATCCTATAATTCTTCATATATAATGAACTGTCGAGTAATTTATTATATAAAGTCTATTTTTTGATATTTTATTTAAAGTTTTCTTTATTCATTCATCATACTAGGTAAGATTTAAAAGTTTGTCGAAAGTAACATACTGGGAAAACTAAAACTGAACTCATCAGTACTTGATATAAATGACCTTATAACACCAAAATGTTATTTTTATTCAACTAAACACTCAACGTTTCGCTTTATAGCTTCTTCAGGAGCATTCACTAAAACACAAACTGAAACTGATTGTATAAAGCTTCAAACAGTTTAAATAATAAAGGAATTTACATTTTGTGTGGTCAAGATGATTCCAATTTATATAATGTCAGGTTTTATTCAACACATGTAATTTATCATACCTTAATGAAGTTATTATGAGGTAGGAATGGTGCTCGTCCAATGGGGATAATGAACAGGAATATATTTTAACCTCCCAATCATCCACCTCTTCATACATACTAATTGAAAACCTTTTACACACCAACACAACATATACTATTATAATGCTTGTTAAAAAGTAACTTAAACTCATACACACCACGTACTGTGACGGTAGCTTTCTCAAATTATGCACACTATTTGTGTATTATATTTAGCAACCTATCAGTGCACATGCACTGCATGAGTGCTTGACTGAGAAGTCTAACTGCTGCAGTTTTTGAAAGTTCATCGGTTACAGTGATATGTTTTTGGATTTCTTTCGTTGAAAACATTTTGTTTTTAAACTAGTACAAAAATAAAACCTACAAAAATCAATTCCTATATAAAATAAATCCCTACGAATTGGGAGCCCTATGCAATCGCTTAGTTGGTTTATGCCTAGCGTGGCCGTTGTTGTGAAGATACCATCGTGGATTACGTATTGTATAAAAATATACTTTTTTTTTCAGTGAAAAACATATCGAACGTTTCTATCACTTCCAAATGATTTTATAGTATAATAACTAATATATACAACTCCAAAAAAATTTATCTTACCATTACTACTAAGAAACCAACAAACAAAAAGTCACAGTACGAATGTTCCTTGGGTAACCATCCAATATTACTTTGTAATTGTCATTAATGGAATCAGATGGATTTTATGCTCTTTTTTTTTAAGTACGTTTATAGTTTTATATCCCTTATAGGTTACTGAATGACAGACGTAATCCTCTTTGTACTACATATCGATTACACCCAAGAAATTCTTTTTCTTTATGGAATATCAATTGCTGTATCTGAAGCAATAGTCTTAACAGATTAGATATATTTATCTTAAACTTCCATAAGAAATGAAATTCAAATTTCTCACACAAAAGGATAAAAAAGCTTTAACAATAATTTCAGTCACTAATGTAAACTGAGGTTAAAATTTTATTTTCTTACACATTAAAGTTACATTAATCAATCAAACAGTAAATTACTTGTTAGACTAACTTATTCTAATTACAAAATAAACTAACATTCAAAATAATCTTATTATTCACACAATAAATTTAATTTTGTTTTAGAATAATTGACTTTTTTTTTCAATTTCTCAAGCAACCAGAGCATCACAGTTTTACTTTTTAAATATTATATTAATTCAATGGACAAAAGACACACAGTAACAAATAAAGTGTAGGTTCATGTTTGTACTTGTAGTACAAAAACAAAAAAAAGGAGATTTTAAGTTAGTATACTAAACACTACTGATGTTTATTTAAACTTCAAAGCTTTCAAGCACTTTACTGTGGCAAAATCTAAGTTAAAATATTTAAAAACTTGAAGGTTTAAACAAATATATATTACATGCAAAGCAAAAGTTTGAATACCTATTTATTTTTACTGAATTACACCAATTCTTGTTTGAAAGAACTTCATAAATTCAAAGAAAAAGAAATTTTCACATTTTACTTGGAAAAAAAATTGACCTTCTATTGTTTGTTAGAAAATACAATTCATTACGTATAACAGTAACTAATTGAACAAAAAACTGAAATTTAAGTTTTAATTGATAGCTTATAACAATATTTAACATTTCTTTGTAGCAGAAAAAGTTCATGCACTTAACTGTATATAAATGTTTAGTTTGTTCTTTTTGTAACCTTCAGAGTAGAAGACTTTTACTAATCGTAATATTATTTACCAAAATAGTAGTTATTCTAAATAATTGAGAACAAACACAAAGTAATTGAAATAAATTAATTAATAAAAACAGTAATAGCAATATTATGATAAAATCATGTGTTTAATCTTCCAGCATTTTCCTGATTGGCCAAAATGTTTAAATGGTACTTTGTGCATCACATAAGCTTTACATAATAAATAACATACAGAAACATTATTATATTTATATTTTTTGAAAGTAATTTTATTACATTTTTCATCAGTATCATATTTTGATTATGTGTAAGTGAAGAAAAATAAATTTTATTAAGAATTTGTGAAAAATTCTCATTCCCACAAAGGAACTCAAATTATATAAAGTATCTTAAAAATTTTTTTAAAAACCTATTTACTTATATGATGCTTTAAGGAAGTGCAGATTTGCCGTTTTTTATTACTTTCCAATCCACTTAATGAACAGGACTTTTCCCACGATCAAAGTGTGTTATTATATGTCAGATTAACATATGGTATTAGAGATGTATCACTGAACTCTGTACTCTTCTTAATTGTTGAAATAACAAAAGAGAAATATTAATTCTTTACACAAAATCACAAGTTTTTGTCCTATACTTTGGACAGAAGAGTGAAGTTCTGCAAAAACTTTTGATCACAAAAACTTCTCGAGCATCAAAAAAGATTAGACTATTGTTCAGAGCTTATAATTTCTTTATGCTATAATGCAATTATACATGTACATACTCCAATGAAGAAGTTTGTGGAAAACAGAATTGAGCCAAAATTAAAAATTGTAAAATACCCAACAGACTTTTCTGATTTTCAGCTTTTTAAACATTGGCAAAAATAAATCTGATCAGTGTTAACATTATTTTCAATTATTTGAATAAATTAAAGCTCTAAATTTGAATTTTGTAAATTTAGAAAAATCTAAAACATAAAGACTCAAAATGGGTAAGAAAAGGCTTCTCTTGAATTTTCTTCAACTATTAGCTGCAAAAAAAATCTAATTCAAAATAAATTTCTCTAATTTGGAAACAAAGCAATATGTTCACAGAAGACATTTCTTTTATACCAGTACATCTTTGTATCACTTATCAGTATATAAATGTTTTTATAAAATATATATATTTTTTACTTTGAAAGATTTACAAGTTCTGAGCTGCCTTTTGTATCAAAATGTAAATCATACTACCGTAACAAACAAAAACTTTTATCTAGTTAATACTACAAAAACATCACATAACTAGGCAGCTGTACCGATTACTTCAAAACGGGTTTCAAAAACCATGGCAGTGAAAACATTTTCCACGTCTGAATATTAAAATATACCATCAATTATATGATGTTTTATAAGAAATTCATTTTTGAGATTTTTTATATAAATCTAACTACAGTTCTTTCTCATTCATGATAAGTATGGGAATATAGTTTGAGTAAAACAAAATCCAAGAAAGATCCGTAAAGTATTTAATTTAGTGGACGTTCCAATAATTCACAATAACATGCAACTAATATATGTTCTAATCATGTATGTAAGAAAGATCAGAATATCCCAATAATTTACTTAACATTTTGAACATAAAAATTACTTTTATGGTTCCCTTCTCAGATGATCCTACTAAAAAAAAAGTGAATTCTAAATGTACCTCTTTTTGATAATTCAATTCTTATAAATCCTATTCCCAATAGATGGCACTTTTCAATTTGAAATATACTACAGTAATCTAAATTATTTTACATTAATTAGTAGTCAATTTTACTTAAAGCTATAACTGAATTATAAGGCCCAATTCTTGTATTATAGTTCCAAGATAATGTGTACAAAAACAAAACAAAAAAAAACAATGTGTAAGAGAGAACATCCAGAAGGATTAATGTTTAAATTCAAAAAAATATTTCTACATCTAAGCTCATAAACATTTTATTACAAGTTGGCACACGTTTTCTATTCTATTAGCTTTTTACTAGACTTTGTGTTTGGAAGTTATAACACAGTATCAACAAATCTACTTAACACAGCTGATAAACTAATATAGTAACAATACAATTCTCCTCCTAGTAAATTCTAGAACAACCCTTGTCCACTGTTAACAATCCAAAACAACCTTCCAAACTATAAAATATCTACACACAAGTTCCAAATTAAAGGAGGAAGCATTTGACTCTTTAGATACCTGGAGATTTGTACATCTGTTTAAAGACGTTAGTTTATGATAATATATATATTCTCACAAACCAGAGATTAATAAACATTACTTCTGTCTTCAAAACAAGTTGTTTTACGCAGAGAAATGCTAATAAATAAGAAGTTAAAAGTTTGATTTCATTTATGGACCAATTTCATTATTAATGTTTATAGAATAATATTAACCTTAATACAGTTTTACTATGTTTGAATTAAACATTTAAATTCGTAAAATTTTTATGATTAAAGGAGCTCACAAATTTATCACAATAGCTACCACTTTTAGAGAAATAATTTTAATTTTCCCACACAAACAACAATTAGTTTCCTTTAGCACACGTCTAACATCAAAACTTAATCTTTTCTTTATACGTATTAAGCTTAAAATAATATATCTGAGCTATGTTTACATATAGTTACAGGCTATTGTATTCTGTTCAACTTATTGGATAACTGTAATGTCTATAATTTACCAACAATTTTCCAGAACGATAAAAACTAAATGTTTGAATATTTTTGTTAGTAACGAGAAAGAATCATGATTCAGTAGAAAGTGAGACTTATTCCACACCTGGTTACAGTCAAAAAGATGTTTCAGTTAACAAAATTAGAACTACTTTGAGCCCATTTTGAACTGCCATAGAGTCACTTGAAAATTTCATTTTTAAACCAAAATATATATATACTAAATGAAAAAATATCAGATATAAGTTCCTGACATTCTATTAAGCATACATCACTCGATATAAACTATTCTAATCACAACAGATGTATATGTTTAATGAAGTGTAAATTAAATATTCTAGAGTTATTTTTGTTAGCTCCAGCTTGAGCCTTACTAAACTTCTTATACTTATCGTAGAAAACTTCAGGACAGACTTGAGTCAAAGTGGAAGCACTGTACGGCATTACCTGAACAGACAGCTGAAGAGCCATTTCCCCAAATGAAGATATTTAAGTTAATAAAATACTAAGTATAAGCCTTTATACAGCATAAGGTCTTTTTCTAGAAAAGCACCACCTATATGTTTTACATCTTACCCACTATATTTAAGAGTATGTAACTAGAGCACCATTTAAAATAAAAAGATGATAAACCTGGGATCGTTGCACTTCATCATACAGCTATTAGAAACTTACGGTTTACAAAAAATATGTCATGGTTAGAGCTTTACAAATATTTTCTTTCTTTACCACAGATTTTAAATTTGATATGTAAATCACTAATTTGTCCAATATTCAAAATCAATAATAAAAAAAAAATACCAAATTAAGACACACTTTTAAACAAAACACACACACACACACTACAGTTTTAAACTTCTATTGAAAAAAAGCAATACTACTTTTAGTTATCTTTAAAATGACTCGTCTCCATCACACAAGTGTTTGAGAGATCAACCATCTGTTAGTTAGATATGTGTTTCATAAATGCATCTTATTCTTCTATAGCTCCACTGACAACCTTATGGAGAACCGTAACCTTGATATTCATCAGGAGCTTTGTTCCCATACTTTGCTTTACGAAGAGCTGCCAAACGTTCCCTTGCTTCCTCTAGCTCTCTCTCTTTGCGTAGAATTTCTTCTCTTGCAATAATTTCTTGGGCAATACCACCAACCATTCTTTTGTTTATAATCAGACTCCTTTCTTCATCATTTTCAATTGATTTTTGAGCTGCACGGACCAGATTATCTGTAGCCCTTTTTACTGCATTTCCAGCATTCTATAATGATGCAAGTACCACATTAACTATACATCTTGAATTATTAGGTAAATAAAAGCTATACTTCATAATATTAGCTTAATTTGAAAATTTCACAGCAATTTTTAATATACATCCCTAAAACATACATTTATTAGAACTTTTATCTTAGCCAAACTAGACTTTTTCAGAAATGGTTTGTACAGTCATGTTGCAGCAAAGTTCTCTTTTTCACTTACTAATTTTTAGTGACTAAAAAAATTAAACATAAATCACTGTCACGAACACCATAGTGATATATTTACACGAGCTAATTAAAAACAGATACTTTAATACCTCTTAATTATGACAAAAACTTATCAACAAACACCAAAGTACTTTCTCAGTATTTCATAAAGAAACTTGATGAAAAATCTGAAGGCTAATAGTATTTCTTTAATCTTGGATGTGCTGCTCATACAAACAATTCTCTTACAAAAAGAACCAAGTAATCTGAAGCATACTGGGACATATTTTTTACATCTAGCAGGTATAGTGGTATCACCATCAAAACCTTTATTATTAAATTGTATTTTGAAAGATAGAAAAAATAGATCTAACTGCAGCATTTTTAGAAAACTTCAAGAGAAGACTACTTGAACATTTGAATGTCTTTACCTGGAGACGCTTCATAGCCTGAGATTCAGGATCTGCTTTAACTTTACAAGCTACAAGCAGCTGTGCAGTGGAACTTGCAACTTGTTTTGCAGATGAAATCAACTTCTCTTCTGTGGCATGACCCTGTACGTGTGCATTAGCAGCCTCAACAAGGCTATGAGTAGCAGCAGCAACGAGATGTGCCTGAAAAATAAAGGAAGAAACATTTCAGCTTGTCTCATTTCGAAAGTATAACATATCAAAGAAAATAAATCTTTTTACATGGAGTTAAGATGAAAGTTATGAACAGTTTTATATGCCAAGTTACTATTTATCCTTACATTTTCATTCTGTAATTCTAAATGATTATTAAGGCTATTATATATTCAAAAACATATGTATTTACATGCAAACACGTAACATTTTATTAATTTTTTCTCGATAACCGGCAAAATTGAAAACGAGCTTAAAAAGATGAGCTTCTCCAACTGTAAACTAACAATGTAGTTTAACTCCAACTGTAAACTCTAACAATGTAGTTTAAGTTTATAAAATATGGAGATTAAGTTCAAACTTCATCATAATATAACACTATAAATAAAACAAATGCATAATAACCAAGTTTTAAAACAGTCTTTGGTTTTACTCTCAAAATGAAACAAGTGCTTATTTTTTTGTTAAACACAAAGCTACACAATGTGCTAACTGTGCTAAGTGCAAGTCTAATTAAGAATCTTTCATTAAAAACAAGTTCACACTTGTTGAACTTTAATATTTTTTTACCCAGAATTTGTTTATTTGTTATGAATTTTGTGCAAAGCTACACGAGGGCTATTTGTGCTAGTCATCTCTAATTTAGCAGTGTAAGACTAGAGGGAAGGCAGCTAATCATCATCACCCACCACCAACTCTCTCGCTACTCTTTTACCAACAAATAGTGGGATTGACAGTAACATTATAATGCTCCCACGACTGAAAGGGTGAGCATGTTTGGTGGAATGGGGATTCAAACCCGCAGATTGCGAGTCGAGCACCCTACCCACCTGGCCTTACCCAAAGAAATAAAACTAATTCCCCCACCCCCAAAACTATTACAGTTCTTTTAAACATTTTTTTCAGGTATGAAAACTAGAAACCTGACACAGTGTGTGTGTGTTAAATTGAACTCAAGGCATAAATTAATTCAGATTTAGGATTAATTACCTATGAAGGTAACACTTAAACTTATTTTGTGAATAAATATCATAGAAAAATATTTTTAAAACAGCCTGTACTTTTTTCAGTAAAATTCTTCTCCAAACTGTGGAAGTTATTATTATAATATTTAAAAAACGTGTATCTACTTAGAACAAAATGGAATGCATGACAAATGCTTGAAGGCAAATGTTTAAGATAAAATTTTACTGTGAATTACAAATAATTGAGACAACTAATCCTCCTTTTAAATTCCATACAACTTCTGTTATAAAATTAAAGGCCTTGAAAATAAAATTTCAAAGGGTTCCACAACTTTCCAGGATTTGATCAATTCTGCACTTGTGACATGTTACTAGTACAGCTTGTTCACGACCTTCCATTAAAAACGACCAGTATTTCAACCTACAAAAAACAAAAAATCTTTTCATTTTATACTGTTATGCTCATATTTATTACGTGTTTGTATTTTCAAAAACCTGGTGTCCAAACGTGATAAGACAATCACAGATACTTACTGCAGAAACAAGCCCTTCTGACCACTGTCCATCATCAGATGTATACAAGGGATGAGATCCAATCTAGAATGTTAGTAATAATTATATTACAACATTAGCCACTAACTAAAAATAATTATATTAAAACACTAGCCACTAACCAAAAATAATTATATTAAAACACTAGCCACTAACTAAAATAATTATATTAAACACTAGCCATTAACTAAAAATATTATATTACAACTACTAGCCATTAACTAAAAATAATGATATTACAACATTAGGCAGTAACTAAAAATAATTATGTTAATACTAGCCAGTAACTAAAAATAATTATATTAAAACACTAGCCATTAACTACAAATAATTCAAGATGATAAAAAGTTTTCTGTTAATTATTCTGTAATTTCTATTCTACAAGAAGTGTTTGCAAGATATCATAAACAATTATGACTAAAAGAAAAATAATCAAACATGGTACTTTCACTTCATTCATAGTTTTAAAACTAAAACTAAATTAAAAATAACTGAACTTAAAGCCCGTTTGTAAATTTCTGAAACATCAGGAACTTCTCTGCCAGATTTACAACATCTTTTAACGTACCATGCCAGAATCTAACAGCTCCTTCTGGGCTGCAGAAGCTGCTTTCACAAGGATAGATGTTGCTTCTGCAATCGACTTTGCTGCTTCAAGGATCAATTCATCAAAGTTCATTTCTTTATTAGATTCCTGAAAACACAAGTAGGCCTTTTGTAGAGAAATACAAGTGATCTGTGTTATGTAGAGATGGAAAAAATTGTTTTCCCACCCACACTTAAGTGAAATTTATAAAAAAGCTGTAAATATATATCATTCTGTATGTATCTCTGATTCTGCCCCCACACCATTGGTAACATAATTAAAGCAAACCCATGTGAAACTGGTTACAAATTTCTGACTAACATCTATCAACTACTTCATTTCAGTTGATGGGGAATAAAAGTGTAAAACAGTTGATGGGGAATAAAAGCGTAAATCAGTTGATGGGGAATAAAAGCGTAAATCAGTTGATGGGGAATAAAAGTGTAATCAGTTGATGAGGAATAAAATTGTAAATTCACCAGTTGTTTTGACGACCTAAAAATGTAATTGCCAGATAAGAAACATTTCTTACATATTGAAATGGTGTATTTAAGTGTTTTACACTCACAAAAAAGAAACATATCATTCTATAGGTATTTGAAGAACTTGTAACATTCCACCACAATTTAATTCTTCGTATTTTTAGCCAACACTAGGTAGCTGGTACATAATTGAATAGAGTTGTGTTTAAACAAGTTTCTGAGAATTCCACTCCTCATCAATGACCCTGGACACTACCACCAAATGAAACTTCAGACCAAACCAAGCCTTAATAGTAGTGAGGTATCAAAAATTGAAATGGTGCATTTAAATGTTTTCCAAAACTAGTCTGGCCCACAGACACACTCAAATGAAAGAATAGACCATTCCAAGCTTTTACTTGTTGTTAAAAAAATGTTTAAAACAACTCTATTCAATTTCTTACATACTTTGAAATATTTATTACAAAAATAGTGACAGTATTTAAATATTACTTTGCATAAATCACATAAAATACATTTGATAAATATTAAGCATTCTTTTCTGTCACCATTTCTCCTGTTTGTATCAACACTCTGACATTTCTAAACTATATTTTATTGGAAAAACTAACATAAAAGATGTCACAACCAGTTTTTATCCAATTCTACCCCAAACTACTATTTTTTTTGTTTAGGAATAGCAAAAACAAAACCATGTCTGAGAATGGTTGAACTTAAACTGTCGGCATCAATAGCAATTTAATCAACCTTCTTTTTCACCAACACCTAAATGCCTACCACAGTGATGTTAAGAATAACGTAATTTTAAACATTTGAAGTGAGTCCAAAAGATTGACAAAGTTGACTGCTGCTGAGTTAGTCAGAGAATACTAGTGCACTTGCCTGTATGAATAAAATCCTCAAAATAACATTTTCATAAACTTAAATATGATAATTCAAACAACATATGAATTTTTAAATAGTTTCATTCTTAATTACATTTCTTTTACAACCAAGAATGTTTTGACATGAATATCTACATGAACATGTTTATGAAGAAGGTACCTAAATGAACATGTTTATCAAGAAGGTACATACATGAATGTGTTCTTTAAGAAGGTACCTACATGAACATATTCATCAAGAAGGTACTGTAACAAAACACTCTTAATAACAAAAAGACTAACTACTAAACATTAATATTGTTTATGTTCCATTAATGTCACAATTTAAACTTTATTTAATATTGTGATCTTGAAAATACTAAAGGTTTCCTACTCTCTACTACAAAGTTTACAGACTTCGTTAGAAGATACTCTCCTCCTCTATAAGCATATGTCTGATTTCTGGTTGAAAAAAATGCAACAACCAAGAATATCAAACATATCTTTCAGCAAAGGATTCCAATTTCTTCTTGAACTGTACAACAGAGTGAAATCCTCAGTGAACCCAAATAAACATATTTCTATACACAAAACCTTATGGGATAATAAAAAAATCACAAACCTTGACACTTTGTTTTCTAGGTTTAAGAAAAGAAAGTTTTTTAGGCAGCTGCATCAATAGATGAGGCTGCTCCAAGCAACTCGGTTTCAGCTATTACTGTTGGATCATCCGGATCAAACCAGTCACTACCTGGAAGTTTAAAAATATGTATAAAAACCTATATATATATATATATACATGTTTATAATATAAATGATAAATATGAAAAAAATCCATGTGGGGATTATCTGTTACATCTTATGGCAATTCTAGTACAAATTCTCATGTGTAATATTAAATAGCTTCCAATGTACCAAACACCATGGTACAAATATCTTAATGAAACCATGAAACTGACAAACTTCAGCACAATCCCTGCATTTCTACATGAAAGTCACCAATACTTTGATTCATGTAAGTTCTTAGTTTTAGTCTGAAACTGTCCAGCTAGCACTCAGTTTCACAGATATAAGATGAAAAACAATAATCTTGCATTACATAAAAATATGAATTTGTGACCAGATGAGTATAGGCAGTTCCAACATACTGATAAAAACATCTTCATATTTAAAAATGTTTATTTCTAACATACAACTGTTTCTTTTATCCTTGTTTTTCAAACATCACACAAAGTCTGAGAATAATACTAACTAGTTTTGATTAAAGGTTATGAATGGTTTGTCCAAGGGTTTTATGGTTAATGGCCATTCTAGTGAGAAAGTTAAACTACACTTAGCATTTACTGAGCAGCATCAAATATACATTGGCCACATTTCACCAAGGTTTTTTGTATGTTAATGAAACAAAAGGGCATTTTGTTCACAACTGGAAGACACTTCTCTGTGAATTTCTGTCAAATAATTCTACTAACTTATTTATATTTTATCAGTTCAACCAAATCAAAGAAGGAAAGCTATTTAAAAAGTGTTTGGAGTGACAAATGTTAAGATAGATTAGAAAAAAACACAATTACAATATAATTTCTTTTATTTTGAAAAAGTATAATTTGTTACAGCTCTTAAGTGAAATGGAAAAGTTTTAATGAAAAGCTTTAATGTCAGAACTGAAAAAAAAACTTAAAGAAACTGTGGAATGTCTAAAATACAAAAAAAAACATTTCAAAAGACTAATTAAAGAAGCGATTTAGAATTTTTCAAAAAAAAGAAATATGTATTAAAGTTTTACCTGGAATAGCAAGATAGATTTTTATACAAATTATACACTTTGCATGACCCAAAATTCTTATTTCAACAGTTGTAGGCAATAAAACACACAAGAAGCTAAAAGAGAAACTTTAAAATATTTTTTGTATAACAAGTATAACCCCTCACAGAACAACCAACCTTTCAGGGTTTCGGCTCCACACACAACCTCAGAAACACATTGGGCAATTTTTCTTGATATGCTGATTAACTGTTGCTTACCTTCCTGGGTAGGTCTTTGAATTACCTAATTAAAAGAAAAAGTAATCTATCTATTTATATTTCTTAATTGTAAAGTATTTCAGTCACAAATATGTAAGATTACCTTCTATGTGATTAAATGTTTCTTGAAGAGTCAAGATGGTGAATACAATGTATACTCTGCTGATTAATATTTTACCAAAAAAACAATCAACCATTTCTAATGACAGAACAGTTATGTGTGACGAACATCACTTATTCTTGATGCTGAATTAAATAAAGTTACATTGTTACACACAAGAAATCAGTTTTCATGTTTTAGTAAAATTGTTTCGGAGGTTTTTACCTGGGTCACACTTACTTTAAGAGACAGTGATAGAACATCCGTGTAAACCTCCAGGTATTTAACATGCTTTTGTTTCTATAAGTCACCACTTGATGGAGCTGGATGTTTACTGCTACAAGTACAAATTATTATATGGTTCATGTATTGGTAAGCTCTTTAAGTGATTTTCTGTATAATTAGTTTCATTAAATATTTTTGGTTAAAATTTATAAAATAGTGTTTGAATTTATATTACATTTATGAAGATCATTTTACATTGTTGGCTTAGTACATGGATTTTGAATAGTAAAGCCATACTTAGACCATGTATCTTGACAAACTTTCCAAAGACCTTCCACTGTATGTGGATTTCAAATAGCAAAGCCACACTCATACCAAGTATCTCCACAAACTTTCTCAAGACCCTCCACTTACACAGCTATAAGTTTCCATGACAACAGTTATTAAAGGAATACAAGTCCATCGGAGAAGCATAAATTGGCTTGTCATGTATGAGGCTAAATTGGATTTCTGTGATACCAGTTTCTTCAGCTACATTTCATAAAATCAACCATTGATTCATGGTGCATCTTTCTTTATCATTGCTGCTATGATATACATCTGGCTTCAATACAATGGTTTTATTTTTTTCATGTGTGAGTCAGAAGGCATCTTTTATAACTTCAGGAATGGAGGTATTGCTTCAAATTGGTTTGAAGTGCAGTTTCAGAGTCCTCTGCTGTTCTCAATGCTCTGTTGTGTGAATGTTTCTTCTTCCATGGAAAACATTGAAATGTTCATTGGCTCAACATTGTTCAATAGTTTGACAACTGAATATTTTTCTTTACAAAAGCTTTCTATATTCTTCCAGCTATAAGTCTTCCCACAATGGCATTACACCACTGAACGGTCAGGAATTCGTGGTGAACTAAATACATTGGTGCTAAACGCACTGCCATGGCTGGTATCTGTGATGTCGCACCACTGCATTAGCACAGTGTTCAAAATATATGTTTTCCTGTTGTTTGAGACAACTGAAATTATCACTGGTCAAATCAAAGGACTACTATGTTATCCATAAGACAACCACAATACAGCCTGATCCCACTGTAGTTTAGACATCTAGTCTATATTTATATGTCCTAAGTACTATATTGACTTATGACCAATAATAGAATGCCACATTAATTTCCATCTTGTACATGTTTTTGTACATTAGACTTAAATACCATTTTCGGCACAAGTTGTGTATCTGGAATGGCTAAGCAATCTTTGTTTCAACTTTGTGTCAAAGACAAGTGATCAATAGAATGTAGGCATGAAGTCTTCAAAAAGAGAGACCAACTGTAAATACTATCAAAATAAATGCTAAAAAATGTTCCTGGCAAGGTGGCCATCCATGGTTGAAGTATGATGAAGATAAAGGAGTCATGTTCTACTCATGAAGTTCCTCGATAAAATCACAATTTTCTATCAACTAATGAGCTTTCTTGGGTAATATTACATTTAAGACAATGTAACACCAAGTTTGTAACTTTTATTAGTCAACTATCTTGTTCATTAATGTACAAACAACTACAGTTTATTGCAGGCAACCACAATTGACCCAAAGGTTGTATGCTCGACACCCTAGTAAAGTATATTTTGAACATTGTTAGCATGTAAAAATTATTCAGATAAAGTGCACTTAATTCCTTGAACTCAAATTACTGCCACAACTGATGTTCCAATGTAATCTGATCATTATAGGGTTTAATTTTCTGGTATACTGATTAATGACATTAAGTATTTTTAGAGAGATTGTTATAATTATGTCTCAAATCATTTTTGTTACATTTTTTATTCTTAGTTCTAATCTCTGCAGTTAACTCACTTTTGATCAGAAGTTCTTAATGATAACTACAACAAAACTTGTCTTACAATCAATAAAGATGCTAACTGCTTGAAGTGAAACAGTAACTGACAATTAGAAAAATATATGCATAAAAAAGGGCAAGTTTAAGTGTACATATCACTTGTTAATTTCTATTTGACACCAACAATACTTAAAAATATATATATAAACTGAAGAAGTTAAAATGTTATTTCTATAAACATTATGAATATATTATTAACAAAACTCAATATATTAAATAAACAGTGACAATAAACAGAATACTAACATGATGAACTAACATCAACAGTTCCCTGTAATTTAAAGCACAGTTGCGGCTTGATTCTATGATTCGTATTCTGACATCTTGACTTTCTGCTGTGTAAGCTGCTATCTGTAAGACAAAAATATAGTTTTGCAGTTTACTGATTTATCATATTTATATATAAGGAGGGTGGCCACCAAATTCTGGTTGCTATAGTACAAAACTTAGTTATTTCTTAAAATAATCAATTGCTGATTAATTAAGTGATTCAAACTGCTTTTCTGCAAAAACAAAAGTTTTTTCTTTTGATGTTCCTCCAACTGGTTTTGTTTGACAAGAACCAGAACCAGTACTGGAGAAAAGTATATTAGTTAGCAAGATAAGTAATACGAAAAGCTCTTATGTTCTTTTAAATGACCATACATCAGCTGAGAATCTGATACCTTGTTGCCAATGCTGGATTAACCATGAGGCAAATAAGGCAGCTGCCTCAGGGCCCCCATAAATATTTTGTTAACATTATTTATGAATATTGCAATATTCGATTTTTATATTTATTTCTTATATTTGAATGTTCATTTTTAATACAATAAAGTTATTTTTTTATTTCTTATATTTGAAAGGGCCTCCATAAGGATATTTGCCTCAGGGCCTCCACGTACCTTAATCCGGCCCTGCTTGTTGCAAAATGTTTTAATCAAAATATAGCATAATCTGAATTTCTTGATACAAGTGTAAACATATCAATTATGTATCCACAAAGGGTGGTTTTCAATGATTTTTATTATCTTTTAAAGCTGCATTCTTAACTTTTGGTTTTCACTCAAAAAAAAAAATTGTGCCACCTTAAACGTAGAATTGAATCATACTGTAATATACACCACATGTGAGACGTGAGGACTTGATGCATTCACAGTTTATGATACAAGGTTTTGAGTAAGTGATACTTCATTCCTTACACCCATTTTATTTCCTATTAAGAACTTCAAGCATTCAAATGCCAAAATAATTAAAATGAAATAAAAACTATTGTGATAATTAATGAAGTAGTTCTTTAAAGTCAACTATAAACAACAACCTGACCATAATAAGAACAAAACATGTCTTTAAAGTCAACTATAAACAACAACCTGACCATAATAAGAACAACAAAACATGTCTTTAAAGTCAGCTATAAACAACAACTTGACCATAATAAAAACAACAAAACGTGTCTTTAAAGTCAACTATAAACAATAACCTAACCATAATAAGAACAACATAACGTGTCTTTAAAGTCAACTATAAACAATAACCTGACCATAATAAGAGCCAAAAAAAAAAAAACAACAACAAAATGTGTCTTTAACGTCAACTATAAACAATAACCTGACCATAATAAGACCAAAAGAACAACAACAAAACATGTACCTACAGCAACCTAAAATGTTATTACTTTTATTGTATTTTTCTGTGCTAAAAAGATCAAGGATCATTACTTTACTATAACTCAGTGTAAGATGAATGAATAGTCTGACCAAATATAATCCGTAAGATGTATCATAACATCTCTACACATTAACACAACCCATATGATGTATCACGGGCATCTATGCATTAACCACATGATGTATCATACATCTCTACACATGAACACAAACCACATGATGTATCACAGATATCTACACATTAACATAAAAAACATGATGTATCATAGATATCTACACATTAACACAAAAAACACGATGTATCACAGATATCTACACATTAACATAAAAAACATGATGTATCACAGATATCTACACATTAACATAAAAACACGATGTATCAAAGATATCTACACATTAACATAAAAAATACGATGTATCACAGATATCTACACATTAACATAAAAACACGATGTATCACAGATATCTACACATTAACATAAAAAATACGATGTATCATACATCTCTACACATGAACATAAAACACACGATGTATCATACATCTCTACACATGAACATAAAACACACGATGTATCATACATCTCTACACATGATATATCATAGATCTCTACACATGAACAGAAACCATACGATGTATCATAAACATGTAGACAGTAAAACAAGCCTAAAACATCTCTACACATGAACATAAAACACACGATGTATCATAGATCTCTACACATGACCATAAACCATACGATGTATCATAAACATGTAGACAGTAAAACAAGCCACATGAATTTTTAAAGCTTAGGTTGTGTTTCTTGTACACCAGTTGTAATATATAAACACTAAAATCTCCCTCTAACTACAACGTACCTTTGATACTGTCAACAGATCAAACAGAGCCTTTCTTCCCATATTTGCAGCAACAATTACTTCATCCTGTTTCCCACTGTTTCCTGCAGCAACTGCTTTTGCTGTTGCCAGTGTAACAGGTTTGGTAACTCGAACAAGTTCTTCTGGAGTAGCTTTTTTGGTGGGAACATTAGGCATGTCGTAAGTCTATAAGCCAAAGTCAAGGTTTGAAAGAAATATCCACAAAGATTTTCTCTAACCCATTAAAAGATGTAACTAGGGTTAAAATGTAGCAAATGAACTTACTTTATGAAGACAAGACTATAAAGATTCTCTTCTTTTTCAGAACAAGAACGGTATGTACACCAAAAACTTCTCTTCTTGATTTAAAACTTTTCAAAATTTCTCAACCCATAATAGTTTATTATTTTACTGTAACTTGAACAATATTAGTTTCTAGTATCAATAGACATCGTAGTTTTTCTATCAGTTATATAAAAGGTGCTCTTGTTTGCTACAAAAATATGTGAAAAGTTATACGAAATGAGTATGTTATTGTAAAGTTGTTGCCTTTTTAATTAGTAATTTACAGTTGTGTGTAGATTTTCATTACCATCATCCAACAACACATGCTGTCTACCATACACATACTTTCACTTTGCTTCTATTACTGTCAGTTTATCTATTTATCCTGGTAACCACCGAACAATATGGTGCTGAATTTAAATACTTACTATGTAGAATTATATATGAACTTGCATAATTCTGCATATTAATTTACCTACATTATGAGTCTTAAAAAAACAATTAACTATTTACTGTTTGTCTCTGGTATCATTTGAAATCAATATATACACAGAAATACAGATAAGAACAATTAAATATGCACAAAAATATTAAAACATATGAAAGAATTATCTTTTTCTCACAACAGAACTGTATACTTTCAAGAATGTCATTCAAACAAATAATATGGCAGCCAACAATGAATTTTTTTTTCCTTCTAAGTAGCCTAAACTCTGATAACATAAAAATTAAATATGCGTCTTTTTACAGCCTAAAAATCAAATACTGTAATAACATTATTTGTAAGCTTTTGCTTTAAGAAAAAAGATTTGAAAATATTGTATTCTTGGAGAAATCAAATTATGCACAATGAACAAAAAATCATTGTGAAGAGTGCTAAGAGGGAAAACAAATTACAAGATTAATTTTACAAATAAATGGAATTTTTTTTTTCATCACTGCTTACTATTTAACCCTATGACTACCGGTACTAACTTTCTTAGTAGGCAATGCAAGTGTGCATTTATGAATTGAAAAAATGATAGAGAACTTATCTTTTAATGGA